ATCTTTATGCCGGCGAGTGGATTTAGTCTGGGTTGAACAAAGCTGCCGTCTGCAACTCGCTGAAAATAAGCAAGGCGATATTTGGCTGCATACGTGTACTTTTCTGTCAGCAGGCGAACTAGGAGGTCCAAATCTCCATCTCCATCGACATCCCCAACCCAGACAACCTCTAAGCCGGATTCAACGGATTCGCTACTCAGACCTGCACCGGAAAGTAGTGGGTTGTCCTCATCCAAACGCTCTACGAGCTCGTCATCTGAACTTGAGATCCTTTCGAAATACCTGATGCCGTTCAGAATGAGGTCTAAGTCACCGTCTGCATCGAAATCCACGGCCTGCAGATACTCGCAGCTAAACTTTTTCCGTGAAGAAGTGAGGTTTGACAGAAGCATCCTTGGCAGCAACGTTGCCTGGCCGTGTTCAAGCAGCACAAGATGAAGGCCTCCACCCAAGTATGAGCAGACAAGTAGATCCGTATCGCCGTCTGCATCCCAGTCTCCAGCGGCAAATGTGAGCATGTAATCGGATTCATCGGGAGGCATCCAGGCATCACCGGCCGCAACCGGCATCTCACGCCTCTCATACTGGCCATCGGACAACCGTTCGAAGACCACAAAAAACCAGGAGTTCGTCTGCTCGTTCCTTGGGCGATATGAAGCGATGACGTCAAGATCGCCATCCCCATCCCAATCTGTCAGCTGAGAATGGACGTACGCATAAGGCTCTCTGACCCCATCAAGCCAAGGACGTTCAAACTCTTCTTCAACGATATTGCGCAACTGTCCTTGACACCCACCCTTTCTTGGGTAACACCAGGTGGCAGTCGCAACTTTCAAGCCAAGCCATGCCAAGGCTAACGATGACGTCATGGTGAAAGGCCGCGGATCCATGCCGCAAGTCCGCGTGGATACTGCACAGGTGCAACCAAGTGCGTTGTGTATTGTGTCAAAACGGGATACAGGGATAATGCTTCTGGCGCATGGCTAATGAAAATCTCAATCTCTATTCAATACCAGCTGCAGTGTAACAAGGCAGTTAAGGTTCTGGACTAGTGATGTGAAAGATGTCCGCCTTCCTCGTACCATCAACCAGTCAAATTCCCTGCCGAGAAATGATGCAATCTGTCTGAGCGTGCAAGATTGCAGAAATCTCACATTCAATAAAGTAGCCAAGAACGATAGGTTTCACAACCCCTTTGATTTTGAATGTTGTCTTGAAGGAATGAATATGGAATATGAGGCCATGTGGACTATGAGTGAGTGGTGCGGATTCACTGTTACAGGAAGGGATTACTGTCAAGTACACTCCCTAACCTAAATCCTATCTTCCGTTCGGGCGAATGGATTTCCCTCAACGGAAGGCTGCAGGGCTGGGTGGACCTCACTGCTGGACCACCTTCTGAAAGGGCGGTAGGGGAACACTGGCGCTGTGCAGCGGGTCTATGAGGACTGCTTGCGAGATCCCATGATTTGGGGGTCCGACTTTGGCGCTGACCAGGAAGCCCTTTGAATTGCTGGCTGCAACCTTTTTTCCCTCTGCGCCACTGTCGCCTTCGATGTTGGCTCTCTGCCTTGGACACCACAATGAAAGGGCCGAAAAGGGGGGACTTGCAGTCTACGGCTAGGACACGTTCCTTAGTATGGCCCTTGATGCGAGCATGCCATCTATATACTGTCGGAAAAAATTGCCCGATGTGCTGAAAACCCACCCCTGCCGATGATTTCTGCACGTCCATCACCGGCCCATTTCAACGCGAGCAAGTAGTCAAATAGCCTGCCGATGTTTTCTGCACGTCCATCACCCATTTCAATGCGAGCAAGTAGTCAAATAGCCTCCCCCCTAAAATAGGCATGCGTTGCCCGATGTGCTGAAAACCCACCCCTGCCGATGTTTTCTGCACGTCCATCACCCATTTCAATGCGAGCCGAAGTAGTCAAATAGCCTCCCCCCTAAAATAGGCATGCCTTGCCCGATGTGCTGAAAACCCACCCTTGCCGATGTTTTCTGCACGTCCATCACCCATTTCAATGCGAGCAAGTAGTCAAATAGCCTCCCCCCTAAAATAGGCATGCCTTGCCCGATGTGCTGAAAACCCACCCCTGCCGATGTTTTCTGCACGTCCATCACCCATTTCAATGCGAGCAAGCAGTCAAATAGCCTCCCCCTAAAATAGGGATGCGTTGCCCGATGTGCTGAAAACCCACCCCTGCCGATGTTTTCTGCACGTCCATCACCCATTTCAATGCGAGCAAGTAGTCAAATAGCCTCCCCCCTAAAATAGGCATGCGTTGCCCGATGTGCTGAAAACCCACCCCTGCCGATGTTTTCTGCACGTCCATCACCCATTTCAACGCGAGCAAGCAGTCAAATAGCCTCCCCCCTAAAATAAGCATGCGTTGCCCGATGTGCTGAAAACCCACCCCTGCCGATGTTTTCTGCACGTCCATCACCCATTTCAACGCGAGCAAGCAGTCAAATAGCCTCCCCCCTAAAATAGGCATGGGTTGCCCGATGTGCTGAAAACCCACCCCTGCCGATGTTTTCTGCACGTCCATCACCCATTTCAATGCGAGCAAGTAGTCAAATAGCCTCCCCCCTAAAATAGGCATGCCTTGCCCGATGTGCTGAAAACCCACCCTTGCCGATGTTTTCTGCACGTCCATCACCCATTTCAATGCGAGCAAGTAGTCAAATAGCCTCCCCCCTAAAATAGGCATGCCTTGCCCGATGTGCTGAAAACCCACCCCTGCCGATGTTTTCTGCACGTCCATCACCCATTTCAATGCGAGCAAGCAGTCAAATAGCCTCCCCCTAAAATAGGGATGCGTTGCCCGATGTGCTGAAAACCCACCCCTGCCGATGTTTTCTGCACGTCCATCACCCATTTCAATGCGAGCAAGTAGTCAAATAGCCTCCCCCCTAAAATAGGCATGCCTTGCCCGATGTCCCTGCCCCCGGGTTTGTGAGCAGCAGGCCGATGATGTCGCCTTCCTCGAAAGCTTCACCATAGTCCTTGCAAGGGCACATGCTCTGCACTGCAGGGTCAAGGCCGCAGAAGGTGGAGAGCTGGTCTTGCAAACCCTAAACCCTAAACCCTTACACCCTAAACCCGAAACCCTAAACCCCTAAACCCTAAACCCCTAAACCCTAAACCCCTTACACCCTGAACCCTAAACCCTAAACCCTTACACCCTGAACCCTTGAACCCTAAACCCTTACACCCTAAACCCTAAACCCTAAACCCTAAATCCCTAAACCCCTTACACCCTAAACCCTAAACCCTAAACCCTTACACCCTAAACCCTTAAACCCTAAACCCTTACACCCTAAACCCTAAACCCTAAACCCTTACACCCTAAACCCTAAACCCTTACACCCTAAACCCTAACCCTAAACCCCTTACACCCTAAACCCTAAACCCTAAACCCTTACACCCTAAACCCTAAACCCTAAACCCTAAGCCCTTAAACCCATAAACCCTAAACCCTAAACCCTTAAAAGGACCCTTGTGCCGATCCTCGAACTTACGATTCCAGCTCTTCTTGCCGGTGGAGCCGAAGCCAAAACCTCATCTCACCATCCCAGAGAACCCAAGGGGCCCCTTAATTAAGGAATATAGACCTTAGATTATAGGGCTCCTTTAAAGGGCTCCTTAAAGGGATGGATCTATATATAAGGGTTTTTATAAGGGAATTATGGGATACACCTTAAATTATAGGTTTCCTTTAAAGGGCTCCTTAAAGGGATCTATATATATATATAAGGGTTCTATTGGGGAACTATGGGATAGACCTTAAATTATAGGGTTCCTTTAAAGGGCTCCTTAAAGGGATCTATATATAAGGGTTTTTATAAGGGAATTAAGGAATATACCTTAAATTATAGAGGCCCTAATAATATGATTTAAGGTATTCCTTAATTAAGGGGTATTGGGTTCTCTGGGATCCTAACCTGACTCACCTGCCCTTTTCCTTCGGGAGCAGGGGAAGCGTTGGGATCCTCTGGACCCAGAGAGGATCCAACTCTCAAAGCCAAGTCTTGGCCCAGGGCTCTTGTCATCGATTCCAAGTTCCAACTTGGCAAATCCGGCACTCCAACCTGGCCAAGGCAAGGAGGGGTTTAGGGTTTAGGGTCGTTCCTCTTCTTTTACTGTTGCGTGGGGAAAACGCAAGGCCACACAATATTGGCCATTCTATGGCCTCATCCTGCATTTTGAAGCGCCTTCCTCTCCATCTATTCGGGACCACTGGCAGCAGCCCGCCTATTCTCACCAAGCCTTCCACGACCTTACGAGGCACAAACATGGTCAAGAGAAAGGGCACTTCAGAAGAGGCTGCAAAACTAAGAGCAGGCCTCCACCTCGAACATGTAGCAGCCTTGCATCACCTCGATGGTCGCATGAATCCTCGGGCAGGGGCTCTTGAAACAAACACTGAAGCTCTGTATCTTTCGAACTTTCACACGTTTTTTTGGGTGCTCTGAGGAAGCGTCCCGTTCCATCGCTTGTCATCTTGATTCACTCTTGCACTCCAAACCATCTTCTGTCACGAGCACGAACATGTCCTGCAGGGCACATGCCGCCAGGTCTGCAAGAACTATGCCGAAAAACCAGTAAGCCCCAAACCACGGAAGCCCCGTGCTACTGCTGATGGACAAAATCCTGCATTACCCTAAGGACCCTAAACTATGGGAATTATGGTATATTCCTTATTATGGGGTAATGCAGGATTTTGTCCATCAACCGTAGCTCTGGCGAGCGCCGGTGCTTCGCGAAGCTGCCTTGTCGTTTAAGTTCAGCTCGCACTTCAGATTCGAGGCCGCCGTCTTCCTGCAAAAAAGGGGGGCGCGTCGAGGTCAGGCAAACATAATAACAACAATGAGATTAATAAGAAGAAGAACAATAAGAATAAGAATAAGAATAAGAATAAGAATGAACATGAGAATAAGCATAAGAATACAAAGGAGAAGAAGAAGAAGGAGAAGTAGAAGAGAAACAGTGATTAATGACATGCCAACCTGGTGCTGCATTTCCCGCGCAAGGTCTCGTGGACGATCTGGAGGCAAGGCAAACCTCAGCCCAGGTCCGGCAACGAGCATCTACGACCTTCCATCAGAAGCCTGTCAGTCCGCTTTCGTCAGCACTGACACTTTGCAGCACAATACACCTTCTCTGCAAAATAAGGGCACACGCTAATTTTTGAAAGTGTCCAATAACTCCTTATGTTGATCCAACATCAAGTTCACTTCTCGGGTCAAGACCGAAAGCACCGGTCTTTCCGCTTCCAGTTTCAGCCGCCACCAATACATCACCTTCTCATGCAACGACATGCCACTGTGCTTCTGGACCCCAATCCCTAAGACCCAGTCAAGCACGATATTCCCCAGTCCCAACCAAACTCACAGCAGCGGCCTCCACCAAGAATAAGAGGAATGGCCTGAAAGACCCACTGAGGCATGCCGAATTTCAGAATTGCAACACATGTGCTTGAGCGTGCTTTGCAACTCAACACCCACCTCTTGCTGCACAGGAGTGGGAAGCAGCCAGTCGTCCTGAACATCATGTCGCCACGACGATTGCAGCTTGCAGACGGCAGATGTGTTTCATGTCTGATGTCGCAATATGCTGCACCTCCTCGACTGCTTGGATAATTTCAGGGCAAATTCCCAACTCTTCAAAGGCACTCATCAGGCTCGGGACCTGCGCCGCAGGTGGAGTTGAACACATCTTCATGCAATGACACCTGCGACACAACTGCTGAGTTGCCCGACCGGGAATGGCGAGAAGCCAGTCCCATATGTTAGTAGCAAACATGTTGAAGTTTCTCAAAGCCAAAAAAAATGTTCATCAAACCGATGCGCCACATTCACAAGCCCACATGGTTGTGGGGAACCAAAAGCCCTGGTGGGTTTTCAACTTAGAGTAGTTTGTTGCACAGTTAACAATGTTGTTGATCCTGGCTGCTTGTCTAATCACACAAATCATCACCATCATCATCATCAGATTTCGTTGCAGAAAGCTCCGAAAAGGCTTCGCGCATGCCGGGGCGTCAAGACGGCCCGGGCTACGAAAGTTTGGGCTCGAACATGCAAATTTTGCACCATGCAAACTCCATGCCCCGGGAGATGTTTTTCTTCGCACAGCGGACACAAGATGCACATGTCGAAAACAAATCGACCGCTCCAAATCTGACAAACATTTTTACCAAAAAAAACACTCTCAATGCCAGCTACCAGCTTCTGAGACAGCAACTCATGTTGCGGAAAGCAAGACTTTGCGGCGATACTTCTTTTTTAAACGCAGAAGTTGCATGAATGCAGCTGAGCGAGGCATTGCTCGAATAATACAAGAGAGAGAATGTCTTGCATTCTCAGGAATCTTGTTCAGGCGTGCAAGATCAACCATGTGTGCTTCTGGGTTTGGGTTCGGGTCGGGATTTGGCTCGCTGCACAAAGTTTGCCCAAGAACTCTGCTAAAACACAACCAAGTTGCTTGTGTTTCTCAATTTGCTGCATCCCAAAAGTTGACATTTGCGATGCTTGATAACTTAAACTCTTACGCTTAACATGTGGAACGAAAATAAGATTATGGTGGTGCAGGCCATTGCTTTTTGTGGGCAAGAGGGCGAAATCCGCCACAATTGATCAAAGAGTTCATAACTCGGTCGAGTGAAGAAAAAGAAACTACACAACATATTTGCCAAGAGAACAGGAACTGCAGAATGCAAAACATATTAAAGCGGTCAAACGCCTTGGTGGCATCTGCTGGGTTCTCTTTTCCCTACAAAGACTAAAAGCAAACAACAGTCGCCTTTGAACCCAAAACAAACCGATAAGCGTCGAATTCTTCCGAGATTGTTCTTCACAATGATTGCTTTCCAAAACCACCCTCTGCGGCAAAACAAAACGCACAATGGCTTTTACGAAAAACAAACAGCAGTCGCCTTTGAATCGCAAACCGAAGTGCCGAATTCTTCCAAGCCCTTTTTTCACAATGATTGTTCTCCAAAAGGACCCCCGGTAGCCGCAAGAAATAAGTGCATGTTTTTTCCGCAATGGAAAGCTTCTCCAACACACAATAAGGAGGAAGCGACACAAAAAAATGAGGGTCAAAAACAAAAATTTAATAACCATCCACAACTCATGTTCCGAGCCTCCCTGAAGCAGAACCAGAAACATCTGTGCAACAGCACCAAGGCCATCCTGTCCAAGCCACAAGTGAGCTAGAGAAGTGCCTGAATCACCGAGTGAGAGGTGACTGGAAGAACCAGGCAACATTTCAATGCGCCAAAGAACTAGCTTGCCAGCAACGCACGTGGGGTTGCATCGGGACATTCACAACTCAGCCATTCATCGGAACTGTGCGATCAGGCTCGGGTACTGCTCGGAGACCGAGTCTGGCTCGAATATATGCTTCGGGCGATTAGTGAAAACCTTGTTCCAAGCATTGTGCCAAGTTCGTTATTTTTGTTGAAGAAGTTAGCCTCAAAGTCTTCATGCTGTAGCTGCCATTGCTCGTAACTTTTCTTCCAAGAACAAGCATGCAATACTGAGCCTCCGCCTGCGTCTCTTCTAACCCGGTTGGCTTTCCGCCTTGCTCTGCAAAGCTTGCAGATCGCATCTGCATTCCCATCCGATAACTTCAAAATCGGCATGGTCTCCAAGCAATTCTCTCACCGCACTCCGCACTTCTTTAAATGCAGCCGACAAAAACCTTTCTCGAAACCGTTTCAAAGTAGGAGCACGTCCGGATCTTCTGACCAAACGCTTGTGTGGGCCTGCAGAAGCTTCCATGTCTCCAGCAGGCTCAATTCGCTTCGACAAACCAGAAACAAGCGAAAGCACCACCCAGATTCCAAGTGGAACCAACATATCCATAACTGTGCATCCTTTAATCACCTCATCGCTCCGAACAGGCGCAGGATCAAGCTTCCCGTGCACACAGAGGGGCTAGTGCACACCTTTTTTCAAGAGTGCGGACTGCCATTGGGTTCACTGTTGGGGCCAAGCCAAAAACTAAAAACCTGTTTTTTGGAGCAATAATTCTAGACCGTTTGAATCAATTTTTCTGTCATTCTGAAGGGACAACTTCTAAGAGCTAGTTGCTCTGGCGTCTACAACGTGCTTTGCACCAACGTTGCTTTACGGAGGTTTCGGGTGTTAAATGAATCAAATGGCCAGATGTAGCACTGAAAAAACGTGCACGGGGCTTCTAGTTTGGTCCTGACGCATAATTAGGGGATTTAGAGTCTCTGGAAACCGTAGGACAAACCTGCAAGAGAACCTCGAGCGGTCACCAGCAAGTAAATTGCTTCAAAAGCTTCCAGGTCACAGCTGCTGGAGTGAGGCACAACTGAAAAAAAGATGGAGAAAAATCAGGTTGCAGGGCATGAGATTTGTGTGTTTTTTTTGGCGTGGGCGGGCCTCGGTGACAGCGGCTGCTGCGCCTACAAGAAAGCTAAGAAGACTGGAAGGCAAAGAGGCATAGATTCATGTGGACAACCGTCGAACCAAACACTCTCACAGAGTGGGAACCACCATGTGTCCCCAGAAACTACGCCTTGGAAGGGTAGCAGAAACAAGACCAGATTTTAAGCCACTGACCTCCGAACGGAGAGGAACCTGACCATCACAAACGGTTGTACTGCTGTGACACAGGCACGCACGAAAAGGCCACCGCGGCACATCCCCCTCTCCCCCAATCTCAATGTTTGGAGCAGACACGCACCTCCGAGCAGACGACATCATTGAAATGTAGGGGGCGGGGGGGAGGTGTCACGTAGAAGGGCTCTGTACATTCGGCAACAGTCTACGACGTCGCGTCTGTGAACCCTACCGATCAGGAGGAAGCTTTCGCACACAGTGAGCTTGTAAGGATGCCGCACGAGACTTCACGGTCTCGATACTCGAGAACAGGGGAAATTGCTGCACCGCTGGTTCCCCAGCAAGCCTACTGTCCTACTGGAAACATACGGAGTCGGAAAGTCATCTTGTCACTCACACGAGCAGAAGACGCTGCGAACCTCGTTTTTCCATATGGCCTAATGGATTTCCTGTGGCAGAAAGTGTCCGGAACCTCGTTTTTTCATATGGCCTAATGGATTCCTTATGACCTATCCTATGGCCTAACCTATGGCCTAATACACCTTCCCTATGACCTAATCATTTCCGTGTGGGAAAAGACTACATTCTCTTCTTACAACGCGAAAATGATTAGGTCATAGGGAAGGTGCATTAGGCCATAGGTTAGGCCATAGGATAGGTCATAAGGAATCCATTAGGCCATATGAAAAAACGAGGTTCCGGACACTTTCTGCCACAGGGAATCCATTAGGCCATATGGAAAAACGAGGTTCGCAGCGTCTTCTGCTCGTGTGAGTGACAAGATGACTTTCCGACTCAGACCTAAACCCCTACACCCTAAACCTTGAAAAACCCCCTACCCCGGATGTTAAACCCGAAACCTATGAAATACATCCCACTGCAAGTCCTCCAGGAACGATGCGATGGCTGAGAGGGCCGCGTCAACGGCGGGAGCACGACCTGAAGCCACGAACCCCAACCCAACACTGAAGCCTAAAACCTTAAACTCTCCGCCATAAACACAAAAATCTCAAAACCAGAAACACAAAGCCCTTAACCCAAAAAACCCAACCCCCAAGCCCTAAACCCAAAAATGCTCAACTTGAAACCCCCAAGCCCTGAACCGTGAAACCTCAACTGAAACTCAAAGCCCCAACCTGCACCCTGAAACCTCAAAACCTGAAGCTCCAACCCAAAAACCTCAGAACCTGAAACTCGAAACTCTAGAGCTGAAACCTCAAAAGCCACCTCAACCCTAAGCCCCGAAACTGCTGAAACCCAAGGCCAAACACCGTTAAACTCGAATCCTGAAGCTCTGAACCCTAAACCTCAAAACCAGAAACCCCAACTCCTAAGCCCTAAGCCCCTCAAACCCTGACACCCCAAGCCATCAACCATACACCTCAAAACCTGAAACCCCTTTAACCCGAAACAACTCCAACCGAAACCTGAAACCCTAAATCCTGAGAACCTGAAACCTCAAACCCTACACCTCGAAACCTGCAACCCAGAACCCTAAAACCTCCCTAAACAAGCTTGAAACTCACAGACTTACACTCCTAAACCTAAACATATGAGCTTGAAACCCTGAACCCTCAAGACCTGAAACCCCACACCATAAAATTCAGAAACTCAAACCAGAAAATAGAAACCCTAAACCCTGAAAAAAACGTTTCTTTTTCTTCAAACCCCAAGCTCTAAACCCTCACCCCCAAAACCGGAAATCCTGAGACCTAAGCCTTAGAGCCTCCCTCCTAAACCCCTACTAAAAAATCAACACATAAAACTTTAGGCACGAAGACCTGAACGCCTCAAATCCTTAAAGGAACCCCCCTACAACCTCAACTCCGCGCGGAGGAGGTGCAGCCCGCTAAACCCTAAACTCATACACTCTTAAAATTTAATGGAACCCTCACCGCTGAACCATAAACCCTAATCCCTAAACCCTTAAAGGAAGCCGAAAAGACCGGGCCAAGTAGCTGCAGCTGGGAGGGAGGGTCGTTTGGAGGGCATCAGCATTGCAGGACCAGGACTCGAAGTCAGGCTCCTTAGGGTTCAGGGCTTTGAGGCTTCGGATTTAGGGTTTAGGGCTAAGTTTATGATTTA